TTTTTAAATAAATAATTTATTTCATCTTATCATTTCACTCTGAATTTTATTTTATTTTATTTTATAAATATTTTTCATTTTATGTTAGATATGTATATATGTTTTTAGGAAAAAATTCTTTCTGCTTACCGAATATAAAAGGATAACAAGAAGTATAACAAATTTAAAAAGTAAAGTTAAAAAGCAAATCAAACTCTTTTCCTTTTTTACAATTAGGGGTCGTTTGGTTTGAAAATGAGTTATGATGGGATAAGTTATGTTGGGATAAGTTATGTTGGGATTAGTTATGATGGGATAAGTTGTGTTGGGATTATTTTTTATTGAGTGTTTGGTTTGTTATATTCAAAATAATAAATTTTAAGAACAATTTATTTATTTACAAAAATGCCCTTCATTAAGGTAAAAAGTGATACAACAAAAGGGTTGAAAGAGACATTTTTGTCATTTACCTATTTTACCCCGGGATAAGTTATCCCGGGATTACTATACCACCCAAAGGAGAGGGATAACTTATCCCGGTACTAATTATTAATTCCGGGATAAGTTATCCCGAACTTGCCAACCAAACAACAAAATAAGCGGTACTATAATTTAATCCCGGGACTATTTGGTATTATCCCTTACACCAAACGAGTCCTTAGTATATTAATAGAACGATTGATGTTACTATTTCAAATAGAATTTTGTTATCGATGTAAAACTTAATATAAAGAATGAGTTTTAAAAACTTAAACTTGGCTAACAGTATTTTATTTGACCAAGAGAGTAACAATTTGAATAAGTAGTGCTGAAATTAGAGGTGAGTATGCAGTGACAAAAAATTGTTGCTAAGGTCTTTTTAGAAAGGTAAAAAATTGTTTCGAGATTCTAACTCGCAACCACTAACTCATTCAAGGTGTTTGAAACTCTTTCAAAAGGTCTAAAATCATTGGGCTACAACAACCTATTGTGTCAAGGATATTCAAAATATGTTATTTAATCACTCTGTGTATCATTTTACTTGTATATACGGTATTTTTTTCCGACGAAGGGTATCCAAGTGGATACCCTAACTTGCATGTGCCTACGCCCCTGTGAGTATGGTACGATAGATATTGAAATTGAAATTTTCTATATTGAATTTTGATATTATGACATTTGATATGCATTTTACTTTTTCTTTTATATTCGATATAATATTTGATACTTACAAAAAAAATATTGAAATATTGAATACCATATTGACATATATAGTTAGATATAGAATTCATATTATTATTATTATTTAACAAATAAATAAAATAGTAGAAAACTAATTATTTAGACGCTGAAACTTTGATCACTCTGTTTGATTTAAATGCCTTTTTATGTAATTGATTAAAGAGAATTGCTTGTACTTTCTTTTGAATATTTCTATATCTATAAAGTATTAGTATGATATAATTGAGTCATTTTTTAAAGTATTACTTACATAACTCTAATAGTGTAAGACCTAAATTACATTTTATCCCTACTCTTTTCTATTTTACAAAAATCCCTTCAAATATCAGTCATCCGGATACATAACTTTCATCCAGATACATTAATTGTGATACATTATACAACTACTTTGTTGAGATTAAAAAATAAATTAAATATAAAATTAACTGTCAGTTTCCCAAATCATGCAAATCAAATTGATGTCAATCTCTCCAAATAATAGCTCCAAACAATTTAAATTTCAATTTTTTTTTCTCTCAAATTCTCTCCCAAATCGTAAAAGATTAAAAAAAAAAGTAAATTTTTTATATAGTTATGTATCATATACAAAAAACAAAACTATGAATATGATATAAACTGATTTATTTATAAAACAGTGTTGCAGATACTTAACAACATGCGATACATCACACCATCTGATACATAACTATGTTATATTTGTCATATACATAACTATTAATATGATACAAACTGGTTTTGTTATAAAACATTAGTGTTTATGTATCAACAGTAATATTTGATAGTGTTTATCGATACATAGCCTTCTACTAGTTGAATAAGGCTGGGTGTATGTGTCGGTAGTAAAAGATAACAACATTTGTAATATTTGTGTATCCAAATACATAACTATGAACATGATACAAACAAATTTGTGTTTTAATAAATTAGGGTTATGTATCAAAATTAATATTTGAAAACGATATATTGTACATGATAAAATGGTAATGTATCATAAAGGTGAAACGAACGAATTATACATTAATTTAAGAATCAAAATCAACTAGATACATTAAAAGATTCGAACGCATATGTATCAGAAAAAGATGAACAACAAAAAATCGGAAAAAAGGTCAACAATCTGATTTGCTGAAAGCAAAAAAAATGATGAAGAAATCCTTCTACACTTTCTCTTTTGCGCTACATCAACTCCCGTAGCTTTTTTTCACTTTCAACAATGACGTCAACCATGGATCTAGACCCAAAGCCCTTACCGGAGCCACCAACAACACGGCTTTTTCCTCCTTTTTTGGGCGTTTTTTCCACAATCAATTTTAAAGTTGAAGATGCATCTTTCTTTGATTAAATTTGAAGATGAAAAAGCTAAAAAAAAAAATTAAAAAATCAACTACTTGATGAAGTAGAAAGAAAAAAATAGATGAAGAATAACTACCTCTTCAATAATTTGTAATTGATAAATCAGAAAGAGAAAAGATTTGAAATTCAAAAATAGAGTGATAGAGATAATTGATGATATGTGATTTTAGGCATGAAAAAAGAAAAAAAAAACTTGGGGTAATAATTTATAGTGATGTATCTGAAAAAGTGAGAGAAATTATGAAAAAGAGAGATTTTTGTAATTTTTTTGAAATGGTAGGAAATAATAGAAAATAGGGTAAAAAAAGGTTGTATAGTTAGGTAATTAATTAATCATTTTTTAAAATATCAAAATCATAATTATCTATTTATATAGATACTATATGTAAGTCTAAATTGAAAAATTATCATTTACTAATAATGTATTATATTATAGAATATTGAAATTGCACTTTAAAATACTAAATCATATAGAATTAGTTTTGTATGACAAATGATATAATATTTTTCAAAATAAAATATATATTTTTTTTAATACCACGGCATACCATGCCATATCCACCCTAAATGAATATATATAGTTCTATATATACATTGACCAAGCCCTCGTGGACCAACTTAAAGTAAATTCTTTGTGTTTTTCCATTTGGTTCCATAACATTTGTATTTGTAAGAAAAAGAAAATGGAAATTCTCCTACATTAGGTTATATAGTGTAATTTTGATGCTTATGGTAGATAACCTAATCAACTTCTAGAATAGACCAGATACTCTTGCTACCTTTTTTTATTTTTTATTTTTTTTCTTGTTTACAGGGCCATGCAGGAAGGAGAACTTTGGAGTAACTGGTAAAGTTGTTGTCATATAACCATGAGATTACAGGTTCAAATCTTGAAAATCGCTTACAACATAACATGTTCTTGTGGTCCGGATCCTTCCTCGAACCTGCGTATAATGAGAGCTTTGGTTCACAAATTTCCCTTTTTTCCCTTTTTAAAAGTTCATACTAGGGGTGTAAAAATTGAGCCCAAACATAGATAACCCGTCCAATCGCCCAAAATTTTAAGGGTTGGACTCAAGATATTTGAAGAGGAATTGAGTTCAATCTCAACTCATTCAAGCTTTAAGCCATTTAAAGAGAATCATCAATTGAGCCCAATTTAATTCCAATTTTAAGTATGACTCTTTATTTGCATTAATGTAATGTATGTTCCAATATTGAAGGTATGAATTACTATCTATTTTATATCTTTTAGGATTTATTTATCCATTTGTAATTTTATTTTTGAGTTGAAATTCAAATTGTGGTTATGAAAGTTAAACAACAATATGTTAAAATTATTGAGATTAGACGAGTCAAATTTGGCGGGTCATGACCCAATCCAACTTTGAGCTCATCTCATTTGAGCCCAAAGAAAACTTGGGTGGGTCAAGACCCAACTCAATTTCTATTTCAACCAATTTTAATATTATCAATTTCAACTCAACCCGCTCATTTAACATCCTAGACTATAATATCACGTAGACTTTTCTTAGTCACTAATCATCCAAAGACACGGACTCTGTACTAAAGGTAACCAAGAAGAAGTATTCAAACATGAAACATGAACTGTTGGTGTTGGGTTCATAGAACATTCCTAATGTCATATGCCAAAATGAAAATTGTCCATATACACTGCTCTTCTAATTCCCAAAAGGCAGAGCAAAGTTATCAAAAATTGATTTATTGAAATCCTTATAGTTAAAAAATTATACTATTATTATTTAACTAATAAATCGATGTTGAATTCTCTTATTTTTATATATTTTAAAATCTTTTAAGCAAATATATATTTTGATTCTGCCACAAAAGTCTCTCCAATATTTTTTATTAGGTTCCTTGGTTGTTATTGACTAAAACTTTCTAGTACTTTTCCTTACTTCTAGTTTCTGTTTATTTTTTTAAAAGTGACTTTGAGTATTATGTTATTGTTAACAAATACTATCTTTTTATCTCAACAAAGTACATTTGTTCACTTGTGCGTACAAATTAATATTCCATTCGTTTTGTTTGCAACAAAAATAAGTTATGTACTTGTGCGTGCAAATACGATGCATTAAATATTATTCCATTTATTTTAGTTTACATTTAATTAAGTAGTCTCCTTATCACAATTTATATTTATGTGGCAAATTTTTAATTTTTTGAGAGTCATTTAATTTAAAATCTTTAAAAAATAAATTAATACCTCTTGGCCTAATTAAGGCAAAACAAAGAGAAAAAAAGAAAACTTACTCTCACCAGATGTACACACCAATTCAATACATTATATGTTAGTATGTGTTTAAATTTATAATTTATTTTATTTAACCATAGTTAATTAACATGTGTTTTACTTCATTTAATCACGTAATAATAAAAATTGCACTAATTTATTTTATACAGCCGGTGCAGGTAAGTTTTACCTCCAAAAGTGGGGGTGAGAGTTCAGAGTAGTCTTTAACCATACATAGTTAATATATGGATAAACGTTACAACCATGGTTACTTATATCATCATCTTCCTTGAACAAGTCGCCAGCCAAGTATCGCAAACACGTTGACCTCGCCTCTCTATTTATCTCCCCAATTCATAACTCCATTTTCTATCTCAATTTCTCAAATTTTCACTACTGAAAACACCATGGAGTATCGCACATTAGACATAAATGTTGTTTCCGGTAAAGATCTAAACAAGGTCAATCTCATCACAAAAATGGATGTATACGTCGTCATTTCAATCTCCGGCGCCGATGACGACAGATCTAATCAGAAAACCAAAACCCACGTTGATCATGACGGTGACAATAACCCAACCTGGAATTTTCCGATCAAGTTCACCATTGATGATAACGCTGCTGTTCAAAACCGTTTGCATCTTGTTTTCAAGCTCCGATGTCAAAAGGCGCTTGGAGATAAAGATATTGGACAAGTTGATGTACCCATCAAAGAGCTTCTCGAATCTTCCAATAGCAGTAATGGAAGTAAACAATTTGTAAGTTATCAAATCAGAAAACCTTCCGGTAAACCCAAAGGTCAACTCACTTTTTCCTATCAATTTAGTGATAGGATCACCGGTAATACTGTCGTTGATTCTAAAATTGAAAACCCCGTTACTGCTAATCCGGCGTTAAATCCAACTCCGATGGTGGGATCCACTTCTGTGTACCCACCGCCGCCGCCGCAGCAAGGTCCAAGTGGGCTATACCCACCGCCTCCGACCTACGCTTGTGGTGGGAGTGGACCTGCTCCTCCACCGCAACCGATGGGATATCCACCGCCTGCATCGGCAGGTTACGGAAATACGCCGGCAATGGCCAAT